TGAGGCCTTGATCAAGGAGACTAAATAAAACACTAAATTTCCAAGAAATGTCAAGTGTAAGGAGTCCTGATTGTGTACACTTGGTGTACACAAGAAGAAGATAAAAAAGAATTTACATATGCGTGAATATACATTTCATCCCAGAACAACAAAATTCCAAGGACTACTGCCTAGCCTACATAATTTTTTAGCTTTAAAGTAGGCAATGAAATAAAGATGATCAACAGCTGCAATTTGAAAAGAAAATTAGAAACATGTCCTATCTTATTTTATCAGCTGACATTCTGCCACCTTCAAAAGACATTCCTGTCCAATCACTAACTAAAACAAGGGCTTGCTACATTTCAAGCATGCAAAATGCTTCACTGACAGATGGAAGATATACTCACCAGAATGAAAAGGGAATGTCAAGGAAATGATGAAAACTGCTGTGATCCATGGTGAGAAGAAAGGCATTGTAGCAAGTCTGTGGAAGAAAACTTTAACAATGTTTATAGCACAGGAATCAGTGCTCCTTGTCCACAGCATTCTCTCTCACAGTTGAAAGAACCATTCAATTCCACCTCCTCTCCTCCCTCATGTTCTCCCCATCCTCAGATACTAAAGCACACATCATGTGCACACAGGGCCTCCTGGAAACTTAGAGAACCCCAGGAAAAGTCTCCTGGAACATATACAAAGGAGTGGTTTATGCTCCCCATCCTCTGGGTCAGGCCACAGATAATCTCCCACTTGTAAGGAAATGTTCACCAGAACCTCAGATTTTACTCAGAAAGTCACAACAGGATGTTGAAAAGAAAAGGGCAGGAAGGTTCTCACAGCAATGCTAGAAGCCAGAGTGCTGCTCTCCACATGCCACCTGACCTACCTGGAGGGTGAGCACAGTGTAGTGTGTGGACAACAGCTCCAGACACTGTGTGTTTTATTCATCCTTTCTTCTAAGTCAAGTACATGCAGCTCAAGAGTTTGCTGAGTGACTTGTTGATGGGCAGCATTGTGAGGATAAAAAGGCTGCCCAAGGGCAGATAGGAGAGATACTTTGTGTCCTTCCTAGAGGTCATATAGTAGCTCATAAGAAATTTCACGTATTTCTCTATAGCACCTCTCTCAGCAAGAGTCTCGAATAACCTGATCTCATGCATTCAAAAGTTTGGGGTGCCATGGAAATGTCGTATTTAGGGATCCTATGATAAAAAAAAAATAAATACAAGCTTCCTAAGTTTCAGGGCAGCGATGATCAACAGAATCAACTCAAGAAAAGGAACACTACATTTGGGAAATTTTACAGACATGTGCCTGTCCTGCAATGGCAGAGACAAAATAGAGATTTGATCTTACTGTATCTCTGAGTTTGAGGTTACTGGTAGATTCATATAAAATTGCATGTAGTAATGTGGACTGTTGTTGTGTGCCCATTAAACATTTCCCTACATAGTATGATCTTGTAAAACCATACCACAAATTCACAATCAGGAAGAGATATTACCTGGAGACCTTTTGCCAGTGTCCAGTTATATCCCCAGCAAATGAATCAATGGTTTGTGCATGAGGCCTGGGCATGGTGTATTTGAAAACCTCACAGATGAGTTTCAGGGCAACTAGTGCTGGGAGGCTCCAACAACCTGGGATCCTAACTCAGGAGAACAATTCCTGCTTTGCATTCCAGCGCTCATTCAGTTTCAATGAAAGGCATTCTGTCATCTACATATGCTGAGCACATGCAGATAAACATCCTCTTTCCACAAATAAGAGGTGCTATTTACTCTGCAACTCTTCAGGTCACCCCTAGGAGTGTGGCTGTAGCTAAAGAAAACACTCATTCTTGCTTTCCAGGTTTCTTTCTGAAACGAATCTTGTACCTCAGCGCTGCCTCCTTACATTTCACATATGATTACTTTAGGTCGCAGACACAGAACTAAAGAGTCCTGCTGAACGCTTACTTAACTTTTCTCCTTAGTCAAATAAATCTGTTATAGACTCCCATCTTGATCTGTGAGTAGGGAACTTGACAGACGGAAGACACATGGCCCAAGTCCATGAAATGGGAGTGCAGTGCCTGGGGTGAAGTGAGGGTCATTGTAGGGGGATAGGGGGCACTGTGTGTTCTTGAATGACTAAAAGCAACTCATGCAAGATGCTCACAACTAGTTCTTCACAGAGCTTCTCTCCCGAGACTGGAATAAAATTTGATCTGATCAATCTAAGTGCAGTGTGGAGAGAACAAAAAGATAATATCAGCAATTACAGATCCCAAGATAAGGAGCAGAAAGCTTTCCAAGCAAGTGATCCAAAAAGGGTAAGAGAATCAAACCAAGAGGAAAAAATGGCGGGGGAGAGAGACTGCAATGACAAGTCCCTAGGACATCAGATTAAATCAAGGGTTTTTTTTCCCTCTTCATAAATTTAATCTTATCTCTTGAGAAAAACTATACATTTACCAAGATTATAAAACATCTATGGAACTATGCAGTATTATATGCAATACAGTGTCATTTAGAATCAATAGCTACTAAATTATGCTATTTCAAGTTGTCTTAAACATTTTAAAAATCACCTCTGTGTTGTCATGAGCTTTTGTGTTCAATTTTTAATATTTTTCATTAGTAGTCAAACTAAACTGATTAAGTATGTTAATAAGGTTCCAATTTCTACCTTTTGTATTTCAAACTTTTCATCTAACATCTCTTCAACTGCAGGGTGCAAAACTAAATTATTTCTTTTTAATTCTGAGATAGTGTGTAATTCTGTAGAGTAACAACTTTAAGGTACAAAAAATTGATAAACACCCTAATGCAAATCTAATCTTTTGTTCTTAACTTGGCTGGAGGTTATGAATGGGTTCAAAGGACAAAAAACTTGTTTATCTGTACAATGATGCACATTGCTTGGCACTTTCAAAAAATAATTAAACAAAAATAACCTTTATGGAATATCTTGATATTAGATCAAAGTAATAATCTTACTTGAATTGGTGATTTTTTCATACCCAGCTTGCTACATCATGTTAGCAGTCTTTACGAAAATCTAAGTTGAAATTGATATATTAAGTAGTCATAGTGTCCTCTCAAAAACTCTGAATTCTATGGTACTGTGCAGTATATTTTAAAAACCTTAGGTAGAGAGAGCATATGGCTAGACCAAAAGCTGACCATGGATTTCCACATGGGCAAGCAGTAGGAAAAATCAAAATCTCAAATACCAGTGTTTAGTGCTTCTGCTTATTGTAATGTGTAGGAGTTTCCCCAGCTGATCTCCAAAGGTCTTTGAACAATGACTGAATTCCTGTAATTTCATGCAGCCTGACACTATCTGAATTTGCTGTGACCCTCAGCATCAAATATTTAAGCTCAGTTCCAGAAAATCGTCCCCACTTCTGATGCCAATCACAAGCAGTACATGCCAGATTATACATAATTCATGTTGGACTTGGTTACAAAGCACAGATTGACACAGCCTCCTTATGAGGTATGAGTACCTAGTAGCAAAGTTCATACAACATAGGGCAACATGCTACTTACTTACAATGACTTGTTAGAAAAATAAGCACTTGAGGTCATCAAGACGCAAAATACACCAAGGGCACAGGCTGGATGAAGGTGCGTGGAGCTTCTATGCTCCTTCAGAGATCCTCAAGAGACAGAATCCTTGCCACCCCAAGTGAGGGCCATATTTAATTCCTGTCTTGGCATAAGCCCAGGTCCACCACTGGTCACTGTTCATTTAGAGAATGAATTACTTGGTGGAATCTCTGTCTCCAAGTGATCTCAAACATAGAGTTAAATTTTTTTTAAAATGAAATTTCAAGGTAGCTAAAGAACATAAGGACATATAACACATAAAAATGTTGCTAATGGAAGAATAAAGACCCAAGAGGCATGGTCTCAAGATCAGGCATAAAGGACAAACTGTGTAGTACTGTACTTAACTATTTGTTAGGTTAAATGCAATGAATCATATCAATCAAATTAAAATCATACTTTTTTTTAAAAAAAAAAAGGAGAAGTATCTGAATAGCAGAGTTAAGTATGTTGGGAGAGAGAGAGAGAGAGAAAGATGTAATCTTTCTTTCACTGTCTCCCCACTGCAACAGTGGCCAGGGCTTGGCATGACCTAAGCAAGGAGACATGAGCCTGTTATGGGTTACCCACATGCGTGCAGGGACCCAAGGTCTTGGGGATCCTCACTGGTTTCCTAAGCCCTATAGCAGGGATTTGATCAGAAGTGGAACATCCAGGATTCTAACTGGCATGCATTAAGAGATGTTGGCACTGCAGGATGCAGCTCTACAAATTTTACCATAGTATTTGCTCTTAAACAAACTCTTAATAGGCATATCTATTATAACCAGTATGACAAGATTTGGCTACATTTATTAAACTGAAAATTTTCATGCTTATTACAGTGAGATTAGTAACTCAAGTCCTGTTGGGCTACTTTATATTTATGTGGCAACTGGTGGTTGTGGTGTTTCACCACAATGTCTGAATCATCAGACATAAAGTCCACTTTTTCAAAAATTAATATTCCTGTGTGTTTGGCCCTTTCATCAATATAATGAAATCAGTGTAATCATTAGTGTATTGAAACTCACCACTGAGGGAAAATTATCAAAGAACACAAAGGTCTGAAGGAAAAATGCTGTCACTGACTTGGTGTTAAAGGCACTTCAGAATTAATTTAAGTAGTACGATGTATAACATAACAGGATAACATCCAATATGTAATCAAGTGAGCCACTTGCTATATTTTAGTACCTTAAGACATTCATAGATTTCAAATACTATAGCACTGTAGAAAATAAACTGAATTTTTCACACTGCTATAATTCAGTTACATTATTTTACCTTCACTTGGACTGATGCTTCTTTGAAGTATCTGCATGACTTGGGGTTCTAGGCTGTGGAACTGTATCCTGAGGGCAAGCAGATCTGTGGCAGCTACTTAAAGAAGGAGCAGAGCACGTAGACCTGAGCTGGAAGTTCCATGAAAGCATAAGTGGACGCCATTCATTGGTCTTGGCCAGAAGATATTCCTCTGACATCATTCTGTTCTCCATGGGCTTCTTTGGCACTGCTATTCCAAAATCTCAGGTTTATACAATTGCTACTGCTGTATGAAAAGGAAAGACTTTGAGAGGCATTTCTATTGTGTACTGTAGTGAGGTTTCTGAATGAACCATGGAACACAAAACTACCAAATATTGTGTACCTTACAGAGCTGACTACAATAGCTCTAATACATTTGAGGGTCCCCGAATCAAAAAGGATCCTATTGAAAAAACAAGATCATTCAGAAAAGCTCATTTCTGTGTATCCATATATTAGCTCATCAAGTATTGTGGATAGTGGCTACAATGAGCATCCGAACATCTTGCCTCACTTGCAGAGCACCTGCAGTTCCCTTCAAGCATTCCCGTTGGTAAGTTCAGCAGCCGCTCTATCACTGTGTGAGCTGATACGATTCTGACAGTGAATGTCACTGTTGAAGAATGCTAAGTAGCATGAAAGCACATCACGTTCACAACCAACTCTTATTTCTTAATTTTTTTGAATAAGAAGTATATATTCCTGAGCTCAAGAAAAAAGAGAAATATGGGTAAAGCAAAACAATGCCATCAACTAAAAATAACCAGTTTAAGTATTTAGTTTATTGTATTCCATTAATGTTTGATATTTTCAGCTGGCTAGAGTAGGCTTTGTGGATATTTCACACGATGATTTAAATCTTCTGTGGTAATACTAACAGTAAATGCATCCACTAAAATGGCTGTCCTCTAAAAACAAAGTAAAATGAGAATGTGGCAAAACCATGAATTGCTGGGGAAATGTTTTTTTTTTTTTCAGTTTTAACCCTTTTACTATATTTCTGAATAAGCTTTAAACAAATTTGTTTTCTTCTCTGGGTTAAATTCTTCTGATCCCCTTCAAAAGTGGTGAAACAATAAAATTTCCATTAGGCTAGCATTTTTGCACTCATAAGTATTAGTGCAATTAACAGTCTGTGTCCTTGATAAGGTGACACCACTCAACACAGAATTTGTTCAATTGAATGGTGTTTCTTCTAGCACAGAAAAGAGGAATACAACGGCTACTAAAGTCACCATGAAGACTTCCTGGAGATTTTTCCCTCTTCTTCTTTGCATAAACTCAATGTAACTGTGGTGTTTGGTAGGGAAAACATATTTTTACAGCTTTTCCACTGTCCACTCAATTGTTAAGATGGTATTGGGAGCTTTCCCTTCCCTCTTGCCAAGGAAGGACCAATGACCCAAGTCACTGGTTCTTCTAGACATCGCCATCCCCCAGCACTTGGCATGCCCGTTTGAATGAGTTCTAATGTTCTCGTCCAGTTAGAAATACACACAAATACATTCCCTGTTGGGCTTGCTTTGAGTCTTTCTCCCAAAGTCCAGTAACTAACTGATGAATCTGGCCAGCTTGTGTGGCCAGCGGATTGCTGGGGAAATGTAAGACTTTACATCTCTTTACATGATAATCTGTCACATTACTTGAAGTTTCCACATGTAAGTGAGCTATGGAAACATTTCACCAGATAGCTACTTCATTCTAAAAAAAAAATCCATCTAAATAATGACATGCTGATGTTCACATTATTCATAATAGCCAAAAACAAATGATTCAATTGTGTATAAACTGATGAAAAATAACCCCAACGAAGTTTATCAGCACAAAACAAACTAACACATAAATAAGGAAATGCCTGTGTATAACAGCTCAGATGCATATATAGCATTTTCTCGAACTTTGTTTTAAATCTTGCTGAAAACATTAAGGCTGTTAACCCTCTACAATTTTCAGCACCTGTGAATATCTTAAAATGTACTGCATATGAGTGAAACTGACTCTTTTTCATTTGCTTCTTGTCTATATTTACCTATATATTACCTACACACACATATGTACATATATATGTGTAATATAATTATCTATATTTCTACTTAGCTCTATGGTATTTTGACTTTCACTCTGTTGAATGCTTTATTTATTGCAGCAATACCTGTTTGACTGTAATATTAATTTAAAATGTACCTCAAAAATAACAAAAAGTAAAAATTGTAAACTACTAATACAAGGCACAAACACTATGAATTCTTAAATCATTATGCAACTTTAATGCAAAAAGTAAGCATAAAAGACTACACAGTTGTTCATTCTGTTCAGAAAAGGAAAAATCAATATCAAATGCTACAGATTAGTAAGATTAGATGAAGTCAGTAAGAGGGGTTAGCTACAATCAGAAACACTTTCGGGCAGTATTTTAAAGAGTCTAAAATTTGTTTGTGGTATACCATTCTTTCTTTTAAGATTTATTTTATTTTATTTTATTTTTTTTTTTTTGGAAAAGTAGATATACCGAGAGGAGGAAAGACAGAGAGAAAAATCCACTAACTCAAGCCCCAAATGGCAGCAGTGACAAGACCTGAAGCCAGGAGATTCTTCCAGGTCTCCCACATAGGTGCAAGATTCAAGGCTTTGGGCCATGCTTGACTGCTTTCTCAGGCCATAGCCAGGGAGCCAAATGGGAAGTGGGGCAACTGAGACATGAAGCGGTGCCCATATGGATACCAATGCATGCAAAGCAAGGACTTAGGCACTATGCTACCATGTCACACCCATGGTATACCATTCTTAGCAATTTATTTGACAAAGATTAATTTCAATGATCTATGACAATTTAAAAAACTACTGTATACTGATATAAACCTTTTAATTTTTTATAGTCCTTGCCATTATTTCTGTTGAATTATGTTATTACTTTTTATCTGTTGAATTCTTCATGTAGCCTTTCATTATATTATAAATGAAAAAACATTATAGAAATAGCAAAAACATGAAGATAAAAGAAGCTAGTTTGTGGTGATGGTTGTAGAATTCAATACTGGAACTGAAGAGATGCTACTTATTCTACCTGCAGATTCCACTGCAGAGCACGATCACCTTATAGCCAAGAAGACACACAGCTCCATCCAAATTCAGCAGCGTCCATAGTGAACAAATTTCATTTTTTCACCTAAAATCCTGCCAAGGAAAAAAATGAGAATGAAAAGTAAATCATAAAGGAATGGGCTCAACTCTCTAGGAAATGCACCAGAGACATCTCTACAAGAAGTATTTGAACTTGGGTAAATAATGGAGAAGATGTGCTTCTTTTTTTTTAAGAATCTGGACAATTCCCAGCACCAGTTTTACATATGTTGGCTTCAGGGACAACTAAACCTTTCCATTTATTTAGTCTCTCTCAGTCTTGGAATTGGCCAACACTTGAGAAAGGAGAGGACTAGGAATCACATAAGTGCTCCTTGAGAAGATGACATTCGGGCTTAAGCAAGTTCCAGGACTGTTACAAGGGAAAACAACACAGAGTTGGGGGGAACGGGCAAAGGCTAACAAACACTCCTTCAGAAGGAGAGTGAGAAAATAGGGCACTCTTGCTGCCCTACAATCCAAAGAAGCTTTCAGAGAATTGCCTTGTGATTTCTGAATGCACCAACGGTTTCTAATTCACTGTACCTGTACTTTTTTTGTGTGTGTGGATTCATCAAAACTTGCCGTGTAGCCTCAAGATTTCAGCATTTCATAACACTGGTGTGTAGTATACTACTAATAAAGTGTAACAAAATTAGTTTCCACAGCTCTAGGAAATCCAGCATGATTATATAGAGGGATAAGAGCCAACGAATTTTTTAAGAAATGTAAACCTCAAGGAAAGATACAAGTGCTGGATGCACATCTTTATAGTTACTTTGTATATATACCATGTCTCAAGCATCAATATCATAAACTAATGTAATGCTGTCTTCATTCGTTTCAATGAGCAAATATGTATGATTATGTTCTTACTTATTTTCGCTGCAGAAAACACACTTATTACGGTACGTTCGGCCATTGGATGCGCAGACTGGGTTAACCTCACTGGTGCAAGCACGTTGCTTTTTAAACACATATAAAAAACAATCTGGCTGAAAAATATTGAAACTGCATGAAATTTATCAGACAACAAATATCTAGACAAAATATTCTCTAATTCTAACATGAAATACCACACATCAAAAGCAGAATAAAGAACATATGCTAGGTTCAACCATACATAAACTTTAGTATAACTAAAACTTACTTTTAAAAATTATCAATATTTTATATCTCTACTTATTGAGAAAAAGCCAATGCAATTTTGACATTATCCAGGGATTCTCTCCCTTCTGCTAGCTCACATGATTTCTTTTATCATACCAATAAGTATCAAAACTATATTTTCTATCTTTTTGTCCACTTCTGTTTCTATAATTTCACTGCTCCACAAAACACAAACAGCATGGTTGTCACAGTATAAGAATTTACATGAGTAAAACACTGTTTTATATTTTATAACCTACATTTTAGATAAACCTTTTCCATTGGAATGTTGAGAGCTTTAATTTTTTTTTCCACCATTATAATAATCTACTCTGCACATACATGGATGTTAAAAGATAATTGTCCTGTTGCTTTAAAAAATGTGCATTTGTTTGCTGAACAAGATGGACTCACTCAGATAGCTGGTTGAAACAACATTGATTCCCTCAAATAGGTTTTGCAAAAACAGGATTTGTAGTTTTTTTATCTTATCAAGAAGAAGTTGAATGATTTTGTTCAAAACACACAATGACATTATATTTTGATGATTTGAGGGAACATTTTGTCTATTTTTTTTTGCTAAAATTTGTTAACATTTACAACACAAAAATGTGAATAATTTATATTTTCAGCTGCTGCAACAGGCACATTGTCTTACCTTTCGTTCGTTACCTGATTTAACAAATAAGGAAGTTTCTAGAAAAGAATGAAGAAAAATACACACATGAAAGAAACTAAAAAAAAAGTCATGAAACTTTCAGCTAGTAGCTGAGTATGTCTCTAATTTACAGAGTTATCAAAATAATACTTGTACTAAGAATGAAAAATGAAAATAATGTTATTTCTTATGGCAGTAGTAAAATCTCAGTTCATAAACTTTACTTTAAAATAATTTTAAATCCTAAATCAATCACATATTACTTGAAACATTTTTCATTATTTCTGCAGCTTTATAACTGATATCTTTATCAAAAGAGACAATGCTTTACGTGATTTATTCAAACATGAAGCTTGCACAGTACTTCATGAATTAAATAACTGTTCTAATTGTGTACTTTAACTCAGTGCCCTACAGAATGATTTTTGCTAAGGTTCAAATAATACTGTAAGTTGAAGTGTCTGTGTGTATTTTTTTTTCACAAATAGGTTTGACTTCAGGAGACTCGGAGTAAGAAAGAGATCAGTCTCACTCACACTCTAAAGTAGCCATAAGCAGAATACCACTTCCCAAAGGAAAGTTCTTGCTTTTTCAGTCAAGAATTAATAAAGGTAATTAACAAATATCTGTATCTTAACTCATTCTTTCTCCATTTCTCCACTATAAGGAGTAAAGAAGTATTGACGTAACTTTAGAAAGACACGGGTTCCATATCTGTTTAGTTACTAGTCAAACATTATCAACCTAATACAGTCTGTCTCCCTATGCCTAAAGAGGAGTAAATGTTGTTTTAACTTTCTAGGATATGAAATGTGTCTCACTCAGAACGAAAAAATACACTCACCACAATAAAGGAAGATGGAGATCATGATGAAAACAACTTTAATCCATGAGGAGTAGAAAGACATTTTTTGCAAGTCTGTGAGTGAAAATTTCTGGCTGTTAACTTATGAACCAGAATCAATTCTACAACATTTTACGTCCAAACAGAATCAGATTCCACACATGGAAACACTCCTACTGGTAAATGAACTGCCCTAAACCCCTAGATTTCTGATGAACGGCAATTATTTTCCTTTTTATACTTCCAAGTCTAACATGAACACAACAAGTCTCAAAGCTCCTGTGAGAGATCCACGTCCATTTTGAACAGGTAAACATTAGATGCTTGCTTTCCCAACCCTTTGTCTTAGCTCAGAAGTAACAGGTCTACATTTCAGGAAACATACACTGTTGAAAACAGAAAGTGCCTTCAGTTGGCACTCTCTGGGAACACTCCTTGCAGCCATGCTCCACACTAACTCCAGCTCCCCAGATCTGCCCGTGACTTACCTCATGCAGAGACCTCATGGGAATCGAGGCCACCAGCTCTGCAGACTGTGACTATTTTGTTCACCCCCCTCCTCAGTTGCCACCTTCCCACTAAGTCTCTTTCATTGATATGTGAGGGAGGGAAACAATGGGAATGAGGGAGATGCTCTGGGCAAACATGGTATAGAGGTATTGTGTGTTCTCTCTGGGAGCTGCAAAATAGGTCATGATGTACCCAGACGATGAAGAAGAGAGAAAACAATTAGCGTTAGTATAGATCCTAAGATAAGAAAGTAATAGGAAATCACCCATGCAACTGAATAAAAAAGGAGCAAAACTAGTGAAACAAGACAATAAAACTTCTGTTATCTCTAACTACATATTCCCTTAGATTCTGGCAACAAAATGTGGTAAACCAAATTGAGATTTTTCAATGTTTAATGTGAAATTTTATAACATTTTGAGGTAACTGAAGGTTAAGCTTGGAAGAAAAAGATAGGAGGACTGTCTGAATACAGTTTCTGTAATGGAACTTCTATACTGCACAATTTCCTGAAGGCCTTGACATGGGCACAAGATTTTTTTTTATAAGGGATTTTTTTCATACAAAAGACTAATACGTTTATAAAAAGGTGTTGAACATCACTTACCATCATCAGAAAAGTGATCTTCAATTCGATAATGAGATACAACCTCATACTAATTCACAAGGATATTATTTTTTAAAAAAGCAACAGAGCCGGCAGGGAAGTACAAAAACTGGAATAGTTGTGAACTATTGGAAATAAAGTAAACTGGCACAACCATAATGGAAAACTCACAATCTATAGTTTGTCAGTGAATGGTGGTACCAATGAGAGTTATGACTTAATTACCAATAAAGTGGGTCTCCCACCAGGTGGCAGGGGGCAAAAGGATTGATTCATGGTCCGCTGAGCCAAATGCTCACGCTTAATAGTGCAGCATTGTTAAATGTCATTATTCTCCAACCCAATCAACCAACACATCCAGTTACAACCTATATTAGAGAAGCTCATTTTATTAACAATCTGGCTTTTAAGTTTGTATGGGGCTAGAGGGTGATGCTACACTGTGGCATAACACTTTATCTTGCCAGTATCTCATATCAGATTGCCACTTTATATCTCAATCATACCTCTTCCAATACCAGCTTTGTGCTCTTATGTTGGGAAAGGAATTAATGATGGTCCAAGTACTCAGTCCCACTTACCCACATGGAACATTTCTTCTGCTTTTTTTTTTTTTTTGCATATCTGTTACTTTATCTTCAAAACACAGAAACATTTGTGAACCAACAAGCTTGTATGAAAAGACAAAGCACCTAGAATAGCTAACACCATAAAATGTAGAGAAACAATGAGGGATAATTCAAGCTATCTCAGTGTAAGACTTCCTGTAAAGTTATACTAATAGAGACATTGTGAGAGAAATCCACATTTAACCTGAGCCATAATAAAGTCACTACTGAATGACAATTTCAATGCAAAATATGAAGGAAAATTTGGCTATCCTTTAAGCATAATTATTTGAAAATGCTATGGTGCACAAAATTAATTAGCAGGAAAATCCATGAGGAATTTTATTGTCTTACTGAGGAATTTTTCTTGAAACTAATCCTTGTCTTACTAAAATAAAAGATCCCAAAAGTTGATGAGAAAGAAAAACCTGTAATTACATCACCATATGGAAACTGCCTTTAATATTTTGCGTATTATTGTCCATTGACTTTTACATTTGCCCTGAATTCATAGTGTACTTTTATGTGTAAATATACTAATTTCATATTCTGAATAAAGTACATCTTGTTATTCAGTTGCTGCTTTACTCAATTAATGCTTCATTCAATTATTCAACTGATGCGTTAGGGTAAAGAGCAATCCAGGTATTTTTAGTTTTAACTAATACTCTAGTAATGTACTGTGCATTCACCTGTGAATATATTAAATTATAGATACAAAGAATAGTCATTAATTGTAACCCTTTATAAAAAACACAAAGAACAATAATGGCACATTTGAACAGGTAAAACTATTTAACATTTTGCTCATTAAAACATTTATGATTAAAAACTGCGCTATGCTATATTCAAACACAAAATTAAGACTGTAGTTTTTCAGGTTGTTATTGAAAAATTGAACACTGGGAATAAAGATCCTTCAGTTGCAGGTTGTTAGTGTTGGAAAAGACCCATGACCACCTTAAGTACCACAGATGTGTTCACTTGATCATCAAGGAATTAAAGACGCTAATGAAGGAGATTCTAGTTGATTGTAGAATCCAGCATAAACGGGGTTGCAATGGAAGACACAGAAATGTGTAGGTCAGGATGACCGACAAACGCCATAACGAATGAATGAAATTGCACCTTTACTCTCTCTAGAAAGGAGAGGACAAGGAGAAGAAAAATAAATGATGGAAAGAACATTTTAAACTCACTGAGTAATGCATAAAACACTTCTTAATGAGGTTCTGAACATGGGACAGTTCAGAGTCTGTTTTCCAATTCCACATGCAGATTGGTCCTACTAGCTCTCTAGCTTTGCACAAGGTTTGTTGGCCTCTTCTTCATCCTAGTTTGATTCCATCTTGGGACTTGCTCATCCACGGAAGAGGACAGGATAAGGATTTGTTTGAGTGCATCTCCAGGGGCAGAAGCCAGTTTGCTGGTTACACATACAAGGGCTTCATTGGAGGAAGCACCTGTGAGTGATGGCAATGGTGGGATAGATAGGAAGCCTGGCAGAACATTTCACAGCAAACTCATTCAGAGTGCAGAAAATAGGGCTGGAGATTCAGTGGAATGTTCCAGAATGTCCTGTAGTCGAAGGAAGAACTGAGGGATGTCATCAAACTCGGAAGGAGTCCTTGTTAGAAATTTGGGGACCAATGTGAGGGATTTCTCAGTTCTGCATTCAGCAGTCAGCAGTAACTAGCAACAATCAAACTAAGTTAAATTCAGTGATTTATGTATTTGTATTTGAAAAGCCAAATACAAAACTTCCTTTAAACTACCTTTAGAAACAGAGCTTCAGGGAGAGGTTGAATTGTGTTCTTGTGGTTTTTACGAAAATAGATACTATAACTGTCTTCAGCACGTCTCTCCTAGGTCATCAGAAAGATTTTTTTTTTTTACTATCATTTTGTGGTGGTCTCTCTATTTCTGTCGAGGAGTTGCTGGTTAATCTGCTATTCTTACCGCTTTGCACTGCAGAACATGCATATATTCCCATAAGTCTGGCGATTGCTTGCGCAGACTGGATCAAACTCTTTGGTGCAAATGTAGTTTGAATACCTCTGACAGGTTGGCTATTGAACAGAAAAAGCCATCACTGAATTTATTAGATAACAAAGTTTTTAACAAATTTTTTCATCATTGCCAAACAAAATTCCAGGTACAGAAATGGAATAATTCTATTTTGCTTCGAATTTTAGCAATAAAAATTGAGGTACCCATGAGTCAGCTAAGCATGAAATACTGCTGTTATACTTAACAAACCCAATATTAATTCTAAAAAGCAATAGATGTAACTGAATTCATTTTTTTTATAATTCAGCAACCTCCTTTCCCTTTATTCTCACCTCAGTTTATCCTCAGGTCAAATGTGCTGAATTATTATGTGAAACAAGAAATCATAAAACCAATCCTTCTTTGTCTTTTTAAATAGTATATTTGTATCCATTTATTTATTTGTTTGTAAATAATAAGTGTACCACCATACGCAACTCTATTTTAACATTTAATTTCTCATATGCTTTCCATGTTAGCTAGTTATATCTTAATAATGTATTCTTACATGATATAATTTTCATAACTTCTTTGGTCTTTAGCTAGATGTTTAGAAATGTAATTCATTTTCTTCTCTCACATATAATACTGTAAAATATTAATATATTAAAATTATAACTTTATTCATCCATAAGGGTATAATTGTGTTACTGTTTCTGTTGGTCCTCTTGCTTCTGAGGCTGTATGATTCTACTTGAACAATCTTTCACATATATTAGATGCTGAATACAACATAGCTTATGCTCACTCATGGAATTTTTTGAAACTGATGAGTTTTATCTTGTCAGTAAAGCCAAATGGTTTTATACCTTTGGAAAAATTAAATGTATATACCTTAGTGTAACATAGCAGGTTTTTCAATAATGTTTTCATAATGTTTTGTGTTTTTATATTAGTTTGTTTGATGCCTGTATAGTTTGTTGTTATATATTCTATTATTGTTTACCATTTCCAACTTAAAAATTAATCATTATTAACGTACTGCTAGGCGATATTCTGTTCGATAGTTAAAAGAAGGTTCTGCAAACAAAAAACAGAAGAGGAATTTAAAAAAGAAGAAGAACATGGAGACAATAGCATACGCTATGCTGTGAATTACCTACATTTAGTAGCAGAAACCTATGTAAATTGTGTACTGATACTAATGTAGGCAAGTATAAAATGAGAGTTTTAGTAGTATTAAAATACCAAGCACACAAAATGATTTACAAATCTTGGAATACTATGTAATTTAAAAATCCATATGATGTTTGAAAATGGCATTTACTCTTTTATAATATTACACTAAATTCTCCTTATTGGCTTTCTTTTCACATTCTTATAGAATAGTTTTTCCATTTTTTTCTGAAAGACAGCCTAGTCAAAGAAGATAATG